ACTATTTGTGATATTAGCTGAAATCATTCCAATTTTAAAAAAGACATGCATGCACATTGTTAACTTAAATTTTTGTGATTCGATTATTTTATTTAAAAGTTTGCATACTGAAGAAGCAGTGTCTAAGAGATTTACTCTTAAATGAGCTGATTTCTAGTCATTGTAATCATGTTTTTATTGAATTCTTTCTAAAATTATTTCTAAAAATGTTTTTCTTTACTATAAAGAGGCAGAAAATTATTTTGAAAGAAGAATTAAAAGATACATTTGTTAACTATACATCTATACTCTGCAATCAGCCATATTTTTGGTTTTAAAGAAAAGATCCATTTCAGAGTTTTCACAAGTGAAACTAAAATAGTTCAGAGAAATATATGAAACACCAAATATGTGTCAAGTTCAAATTTGCCATGGATCAAAATTAATAAATGATAACCAAGAACTATTCACCAACTGACTAGAATAAATCACTGTCTAAAGGATCCAGAAATTATTCAAGGAATAATAACATGTAATCTTGAAAATTTCTTATAAACTGTGTACTTTAAAGTAAAATTTACATCAATTCTATTTCAGTGAGTTTCGTGAAGAAAACACACATTGTAATAGGACCCTACATCCAGCTGGTCTGTGGTCAAATTTGTCTCTTCATCCCAAAGGGAAAAGCTAAAAAAAACTGCTTATTTGTTTTTATTCCACAATCATGAAGTTCATTACCCTTAATTTTTTGAATATAAAGCAAGCAATTATCTATTCTTTCAAAATTGGGGGGTTCATATTACAGTATTTATTTATATCACATTTTCAATATATTTCAAAAGACTAAAATTAATGGATTTGTTGCTTTGCAATGTTTAGTAAAATATCAAAAGGAAGAGGGATAGTATGGATGTCACATTTTTGAGTTGCATGTTTAGGAAGCAAACAGCCACAGATACACCTGCTTTCACTGACTTGGGCACTAGTGGGCCATGGAACAACAGAGTGGCAAGGATCCATGAATCTGGACATGCATCCAGGCAAACACATACTCACACTGAACTCGTGAGGTTTCTGTCAGAAATAGGCTTGAATGCACAGTCAACATATCAATGTATGATACGATAAAGTATTAGGCTTCTTGTTTTTCCATGTCATCTTATGTAGTTATTTTTTAAGAGCAACAGCAGGATATTTACATGGCTTTTTCCTTGGTGGAAATTAACAAGGTACATGACTGTATGCATCCTAGGTGTCATTTCATTTTGCATTTGTGATGTAGTTTTAAAAAAAGAGTTTTGTGGCATAAAATACAAAGTATTTTTAAGTGAAGTATTTAAATACTGGAGGATTTGGTTTTGAAGTCAGTTCATAAAGCAAAAATTTGGTGTGGTTTGCTTTTAATACTCAATAATGCTGTGGCTTCTATCAAATGACTGTGAACCAACAGGGGAAGAATAAATTGTATTCTTCAGAATATTCATTCCAAATAAACATTTGGAGTTTCTAGATTTTATTTCAAGGTCAAATAGATTACATGAATGACTTTGGTGGGTTATGCTTGCCTTTGGCCCAACACAGATCACTCCGGGATACACTGTCTTCCTAGTGATTAGCAACTGGACTAGCAAGGTTCAATCATTAACCAGTTGCTACTGGGGATGCATGGCTCCCCAAAGCAAGAACTGACAAGAACATAGGGAGCACCAACAGTGAGAGCAAGCTCTACTGGGCCACAAGAATCACCACATTATTGCTGACAAACCAAGGACAAGAGATTAACATAATTCTAAGTAGCACAAACGAGGTGGAGTTCACACACTTCTCCTTTGCTCTCTGTTAATTCAGAAACCACCATTGCTTTCCAATTCTGCTTACCACATCATGTCAACACGAAAAAATAAGTTTTTTTCTAACAACAGCAACAACAAATGCAGTTTTAAAATAAAAATTCTCACCTCTAGATAGGCTGAATTGACCTGCTGTAGAAATAAACAGAAAGATCACAGATACACTTTATTTTCACCTTTCTCCTCTTCACTTCAGATAACCTGTTGGAGTGTTTTTTTCTAATTGCTCTTATTTATTTTTACTTATATAAAGGAAAAAATTTCGTGTATCTCGTATATACAATTTTAAGAGCATAATGATACTTCCCATCCTAACCTCCCTCCTTCCCTCACTCCCTCCCACTCCCTCCCATCCAATTTGTTGGAGTTTTAAAATGCATTTTTTTCACCCTTACCACACACAGAATCTGATTGGTAAATCCAAGTGAGGGAACTGAAATCTGAATTGCCAGGTTCATGAAGTGAATGGAAAAAGTCTCTGGTATCGGAAGACGGACCTGCTGACCTGCTGCGGCTACTCTGAGGCAGCATGGCTTTGCAGGGTTATGACATCAGCCTTTACTCTTTAGCATTCGTACTTTACCACATGAATAGTCAATAGACCCAGGACAAATAAACTGAGGGCAGAGGCTTCCCTCGGGCTCTGAAGGATAATTTTCAATTATATATTGTGTTACATCTTAGGAGATAAAAGCTGTATCTGCAAGTGATTAAAAGATGTTTTATAGCCATGGTTTCATTTCTGCTGAAATAAATGCTTAATTTAAACCACACATAATTCACAGCAATTTAGGCCTATTACAGAATACTAGTTCCTTTTTTTAAATGATAGTTACTAATTAAAACAGAGTGTCGCTGCCATGCTGAGCTGTAGTCTTTGACATAAAGGTTTAATGAATAAAACGTCCTGACACAAAAATGAAAACAATAATAGAGACAAGGCTGCAAGCTGTTAGGTTGCAAGTGTGTGGTAAAGATTAAGTTAAGAATTGTGCAGAGAAGGAACTTGGAATTCCTTTCTTTAAAGAAAGAAGCAAAGGGATTTTGAGAGAAATTTGAAGTAGTATTGAGTAAGCTAACCTAGCCCCTCATTCTCAGTAGCTACCTTCTCCCTGAATTTGAACTCGTAGGAATTACTCTTGAAGGATAAATGACAGAGCCTTTTAATATAATCCTGAATATAGGTTTAGATTGAAAATGGGAATTGGGACCATAATTAATTATGTTGTCAAGTTTTTTTTTTTTAACTTTAAGAAGACATACTGAGGCAAATGACATTTCCTAAGACTGCAACCTTCTAAAAAGTTCATGGATTAGAACTTTGTTGAAATGACAGTATCTTTCTGACGTTTGATTAATCCCATATGCAGAATCAGTGTGAGGAATTAATACGGTTTCGGTGTTTTCACTTTCTGAAACCAATGAAATAAGAGACTGACATGAAAATCCAAGCGAGTATCAACACAGCCCTCAGATAGGGTTACGGCCTTATTATCACTCTTAATAAACACTGATGAACAATAATAAATACCGACCGCCCTCAGTGCACTCTGCTCGCACGCATATCCCTGCCGCCTCCATCCATCACTTCTTTCAGGATAATAAAGCAATTCAACCCCATCAAATCCTCAGCAGCCGCTCCCTCGGGAGGGGGGTTCATCTCTACTTCGGCGAGCCCAGGGAGGATTTTACTTGTTTGAAGGGGGCGGAGAACGGAGCCGGGTCCTATTTATTTCCATTGATGACTCCCAGGGTTCTCACAGGCGCTCTGGGACCGGGCGGGAGGAGGAGGAGGAGCGGAGATTCCCTCGTCGGAAAAGAAAGAGGGTTCAGGAAGCGAGGCTGCAGGAGGAGGGATGGACGCGGAGAGAGCGGGCAGTGTTTGGCGAGGTCAGTAACTACATGAAAAAATTGCTTCTTTCTTGTGACTTAGCAGAATTGAAAGGCGAGACGTGAACAAATTTGCCAACCCAACTAAGTTACCGGGAAAGAACTCCGTAAAAACAAAAGCACACAGAGACGTTTACTCAGGTTCATTTCCCGCTCAAGGTCTCGGTGTCAGAGGGAGTCACCCGCACCCAGAACAGGCGATGGACAGCGCCCCGAAGGGGGCCGGGAGGGGGACCGCGACCTGGCCAGCCGTGAGCACAGCTCCGCGCCCGCGTACCGGGGCCCGGCAAACTCCCACGGTCCCGGCGAGCCCCGGGGCTCCGAAGCGCGGGGCTGCGGGCGGGAGTGGGAACCAGGGGCGCACAATGAAACGAAACCGCACCCCAAAGTCAGCAGTTTGCGAAAAGCCCCCAAGAGAACAGCTGGGATCTGAGACCCCTTACTCTGAATCCAGAACCCCGAGCCCGCTGTGACCCTCAACTCGGGAGTAAAAGGAACGAGGAACTGAGCCAAGCCCTGCTGCTCGCAGATCGGGCGAGGTCCCCAGGTCCTGGGTCAGTGTGTGTGGTGGGGGAGGGGTACGGGGCGTCCCCTCCAGCTGCTCTGCTCACCAGGCAAAGGCAGGAGCCAGTCCCCGGCACTCCGCTCAGCCCAAGGAAGTTTCCCTAGCCGCGCCTGCCTTACCCAGCAGGGGACCATTGAGGAGCTGAACTACGCGGGGGAGGGGGGTCACGGACCGCCGAGAGAGAAGAGCGAGATGCCCTCGCCAGCCCGCTCTTCCAGCGACCTCTGCGCTCTGCTGCGACTCCCAGCTTCTAGCCCCAAGCCAGAGTTTGCACTCCGCAAGACCTCAGTCCTGCGGACTTTCTCTAGGGTGGCCAGAGGGCATGAACCCGGGGAAAGAGGCAACCGCTCTCTCGGCAGGCGGGGAAAGTGTTTTCCGGCCAAGGCAAGGATAAAGACTGCAGCTCCCCGACCCCGCCGCGCCCCAGGTTCCCGGGCTTCCGTCTCCCACACCGGTGCGTTGTCTTTCCACCTCCCAATCCCGCTCCACAGCAGCCTAAAACACCGAGGGAGACCCGCTCCACGCCCCTCTTGGCTTCAGCTCCTCTGGATCGGGCGCGCTCGAGAACCTGGCCGGGCCCTGTCCAGTTGGGGGACGCGCGCCCCAGTCTCCCACCCCGGACAAGCGCTTCGGCGTGAACGCTCGGTGCACCGGGTCTCGGGGTGGCGAGCTATGGCATCTGAGAGCCGCGGGATTGCTTTCCTGCTTCCACTTACCTTGAAAACTCAGGTTTTCCTAGAGGGAAAGCGGAGAAATCCCTGCCCGTGGAGTGGGATGCAAAGAGTCCACGTCCCCCTCTCTGGCCAAGATGCTGAGCACCAGTATCCAGGCACCGAGAGGGCTGGAGGCAGGGGCGGAGACAGATAACAGAAAAATTCAGTCGGCTCAAGTGTCCCAACTTTGCGGTCTGCACTGCAAACTTCAAAGGCGGACGGAGAGCGGGTGGCGCGCGGCCGCCGAAGTTGCAGCGAACTGGAGCGGAGCGCAGCGCGGGGCTGGGGGGTCCCGGGGCAGGGCTGGGAGGCGGCGGGAGGTCCTTTTAAAAGGCGCGGAGCGTGCGGGGCTAGATGGCGGGAGGATGCTGCAGCGCTCTGCCGCGGTGCGCTGGCTCCGCGGGCAGCGGCTCGCTGCACCGGCTCGGGGCTGGAAGAGCTGTGCCGGCAGAGCGGGGCGCACCGGGTGGCGGCGGCAGGCACGCGGCTCAGTCCGCTCCACTCTCGCGGCTCGGAGAGGGGAGTGTGTTTTCGCTCGAGAGTGTCACTGCTAAAGCCTGGAGCCTCTACGCCTCCCACCCCGCCGCTGCCCGCCCGCCCCTCCCTCCGCTCTCTGCCCGCTGCCTCCCCCTCCGTTCCTCCTTCCCTCCCTCCCGCTGCGCGCCAGCGAGCGCTCTCCTCTCTCTCTCTCTCTCTCTCTCTCTCTCTCTCTCTCTCTCTCTCTCTCTCACACACACACACACACACACACCCCACAGTCTCTTCTCACACAGACACGCGCGCCCTGCCCAGCGACCCGGCATCGCGGGCTGCACGCCGCTGTCCTTACCTCCCGCCACCCGGGGACAAGGACAGCGAGGCCCACTAAGACCCCGGTAAATCTGCAACTGCCCCCCGACCCCACCCCGAGACAGGCACGCGGGACCATCGCACTGTCAGGGAGACGTGGGCGCACAATAGATGTGAACGCTGCGGTTGCCTTGGGGGCGGGATGGCCGGGGGAGCCGGTGTTAAATCCCGAAAGAGGGAGGTTGGGAACGCAGGCAGAGTGTGCAAACTGTGTATTGCTGGTCCAGTTTCACCCGAACGCCGCCCAGCATAGCCTTTGCTGGGGAGCGCTTCCCCGGGGCGCGGACTGAGCCTCCTGGCTCGGAAACTCCGCGGCTGTTTGAAGGATTGAAAAGCTACCCTACAGGACCAGAGAGGCCGAGGGGAGTGTGTGAAACCATTAAGGCTGACTAGGTAATTATGATAAGAAGTTACCTAATTAGCAACCTGGCCTGGGCACAGGAAAACGGAAGGAAAAAAAAAAAGTACAGTGATTCAGGGAGCTCATTTTTCACAACTGTGAACCTAGTTTCCAGCAAAACTGGGTTTTAAGACTTTGATTTTTAAGTTCTAAGAATATACTATATAGAGGGTGGAAGATATAGTGTCAATACTGAAACCATGGGAAACACTTGCCCTCTCTCACTGTGACAGCCAAGTGAAGATAAGTAACAAGGACACCAGCCGTACCAATATCAAATTGAGAACTATGATCTTTCTGTTTTAAATGCCTGATCACAGAGGGCAGTCCTATGCAGCAGCTCCTAAAGTTTTGTGGCTCCTTCATAAGAATGCTGCAGTAGGTGGATTTATGAAACCGTTTATAAGCCACAAAACCGTTTTGCAAAAGCCATTGGATTTTTAGATACAATAAGAGAGCTCTGAGATCACTGTGGAAGCTTATTTTTTGCAGATGAGGGATGAGGTGGGAGACAGGAAGTGGAAGATCTCCACTCAGAAGAACTGAAGAAGCAGCTTAGGAGATAGGAGGCAGAGCAGGTCACTGGGACATTCACTATCAAGCACTTACTGATGTCCTACTGGGAGCTAACTGTTGTCTTAGATTTAAGGGGAAGACTGGGGTCAGGAGCTTGCAGCCTACCGGGATGCAGGAGACACAAATGAACATAGGATTCGTACTGTACAAGGATGTTTGTGCTGGGCCCATGAGAGCATGAGAATGGAGCTTACACCTCTTTAGAAGTGCTTTGGGCAGAGATTATAGTGCAGAACTCCAAAGGACAAGGAAGAGAGTGCTAACAAGAAGCAAAGGAGGATGGGGGTGGGGGAGGGAACTGTCTGCAAGCAGAGCAGTGAAGAGGTTAGTAAAGTGTCAAAGTACATGGGATGTCCTGGGAGCAGGTAGCTGTGGTTGGTTGCAGATGACATAAGCGAGGCCAAATCACACCAGCTCTTGGGGCCTAAAGAGCCAGAACTTCCCTGGAGGTGGTGGGTGCATGGGAAAGCAACGGTTTTCAGCAGGGGTAGAATGGAAGGGTTTTAAGGGCCACCAGGTCCATGCTATGGAGGTGCCTCTGGCATCACTGTAAAAGAAGCAGCAAGGAGGTCATTTCCAGAAGAAAAAAATCAGGTCTGAACTTAGGCAGCAGAAGAGCCATTTGGAAGGTTGGGGCAGCTCTAGAGATACTTAGGGAACAGGAAAGACAGGACCTAGTGATTGTAGTGATTGATTGGCTATGGAGGGGAATGGCGAGAAGGAGAAGTCTAGACTGACTCCCAGTTTTCTGGCAGGGGCAACAAGGCAAGGGATCGTGCCATGGGCCAAGAGAAACAACACTCTGGGAACAGCGGCTTCGGGAAGAATGTAATGAGTTGTGTTTGAAACTTCTTCAGCTGGAGGTGTCAGTATGACAGAGGAGTGCAATAGGCAGCCAGCAGGAGACCTCCTAGGGGAGAAGAGGCAAGCTGGGAGGAGACATCATGTTCCACAAAGCCTGGGAAGGGGGGAAGAGCAGAAGACTTAGGAGGGAACCTGGCAGAGCACCCATGCTCTAGGCAGGAGCAGAGAAAGAGCAGCCTGTAGGGGAAAGACCTGAGTAGCAGAGAGGACAGAGGAGACCAATGATGGAGCAGAGTGGTTGTAGCCGAGGTGAGAACAGGGCTGGGGACCAGGGTAGAATGGGGCGGACAGAGCAAGAGAACCAGTTTGCAAGGTAATTGCTCCTCTTTACAGAACTTTCCCATGATCTGGACGCCAGTGATCATAGCTTGTGTTGTGAGTGTGTGAAGGATCCACACGGTAGCAGGGAAACAGGGTGGGATAATGAGACCTGAGCTCATTTACCTGCTGGTTTGGCTGAGTGGAGATGGCAAGTTAGGAAAAAAAGCATTTTTTGGTAATGGTTGCAGTTGTGGATTTTTCTAAAGTGGGGTCTCTGGATTGAGCTGCTTGATGCAGAAGAGAGAGAAGGTAGAGAGGAGAAGGTTGACGATGGAGCAGAGAGGTCTATTAAATTCTTTGAGGGTCGGTTCCCTTCTCGATATAATGGGGACAACAGTGTCTACCTTATGAATCCCATAGTGTTTATGGGGATTTCAATGAACCGGTGACTTAGCAATTGATTTAAAGTCGCGATTAAGGGGAGGCAGGCATTTGGCCTAGTGGTTAAGACACTGGTTGGACACCTGCATCTCATATTGGACCACCTTGGTTCCAGTTTTGCCTCAGTTTGCTTCTAGCTTCCTGCTAGTGTGGCCCTTGGGAGGGAGCAAATGATTACTCAAGTAGCTGAGTCCCTGCCACCCATATGGGAGGCCTGGCTTGGGTTGCTGGTTCTTGATTTTGACCTGTCTCAGCCCTATCCTTACTGGCATTTGGGGAGTGAACTAGTGTTTGAGAGCTCTCCTTGTCTGTCTGTCTCTTCCTGTCTTGGACTCTCTCTCCTCTGTCTCTCTGCTTCTTAAATATAGACATATGTACATAAATATATAGAACATTAAATCTGCTATTAAGAAAAAGAAGAAAGAAGTTCCCATCAGGAAGAAACTGACTGTTAAAGATATTAAAATGACTTTTGTTAATTCAACCAACTAGTGACAAACCTGAATCTATGGGAAAAGTTGTGTCAGAAGCATGTGGAATATATTTAATGAAATAAAATTTAATAAAAAATTCCTAAAAGTATTTGTGTTTTGGACATTAGGATTTACATATATAAATATGCCCTGTCTTCTCAAAAAATCAAGCTGTTTTTAAAGGCAGTGGCACTAAGTATATTAGGGTATATATAGATATAGATATGAGGATACTTCAAAAGTTCATGAAAATAGAATTCAAAATAAGTTTATTTTGGTGCAAAAATATTCTGAAGTTTGCATATACAGGGGTTCTTCAAAAATATCATGGAAAAAGCACATTTAAAAACAAAACAAAACTGTATGAGCCTGCCACTGTAGCACAGTGGGCTAAATTTCCGGTCTGCACTCTGGCATCCCTGTGGGCACCAGTTTGTGTACCAGCTGCTCCTCTTCTAATCCAGCTCCATGCTAATGTGCCTGGGAAGGCAGCGGAGGATGGCCCAAGTCCTTGGGCCCCTGTACCTACATGGGAGACCCAAAGGAAGCTCTTGGCTCCTGGCTTTGGATCTGCTCAGCTCCAGCCATTTGGGGAGTGAACCAGTGGATGGAAGACCTCTCTCTATGTGTGTCTCTACTTCTCTTTGTAACTGTCTTTCAAATAAATAAAATAAATAATTTTTAAAAACTATGAATTTTATTTTTTGCACCAAAATACTTATCTTTGAATTCCATTTTTTCATGAATCCCTTTGAAGTATATTGATATTTTTATGTGTAAGCATCTTCAGTGCATTTTGAGAAACTTGGGCAATGTGCCATATTAGTAGAAATGCATCTTTTAGCCAGACTTCTATTTAATTCCAGACTCTGACAATTATTTGCTATAGGAAAAAATCTTTCTGAGACTCAGTGTCTTTTTCTCAAATATAAAAATGGAGCAAATTATAGCTGATTTACAAGTGTTTTGTAAGGATTGGTATAGTATAATGTATTTGAGCGTTTGTCAGATACTTATTCATATGTGAATTGACTTTTACATTATGCAATTCATAAATATTCAGTCAATTTGAAAAAAGTTCAAAACAATTACGAAATTATGAGTGCAGTTTAATTCTATTTAGGATAAATCCTAGTTCAAGTCTGTCCTGAGGCAGTAGTGTGGTCCACAGACTTCTAGAGATTCTTTTCAGGGGAGAGCTTCAAGGCCAAAGCTATTTTCATAGTAATTCTAAGACAGTCATTAGCCTAATGATACAAAAG